TTTGTTAGAGATACATGATTTCTCGCACAAACCATTCAGTTCTTCAGTGATAATTATAAAATACAGTTATTATAATACTGTGTGATGGAAGATAGAAGTTCATACATTCATTGCGCGGAAATATTTCGACACTTTCGTTCAGATATTTTATTTTATTCGACAGAAATATAAAATATAATAATACTCAAATAATCCATCGTTTCTCGTACGAACTTCTTTAATTCTTTAATGTTGTCATCATAACTTACGTCTGATGAAAAATAGAGGGAGAGAGACTTCATTCAGAGTGTGTCATCATCTATGTTTTCATTGGAACTTCAAGGTCCTCGCGCTGATGGTAGAACAAATGGAAAGAATAAACGTACCTAAAAATAACCTGCAATCTTATCGATTGAACCCTCATCGAAATCCATAAACCATTCTCTTGGAAATCCATACACTTAAGTTCACGTTCAACGGTTGTTTCTCGTTTACAAAGTTACTATAGTACTAGTTATTGTGGTCTAGTTACTATAGTACTAGTTATTATAGTCTAGTTACTTAGTACTAGTTATTGTAGTCTAGTTACTATAGTACTGGTTATTGTAGTCTAGTTAATATAGTACTAGTATTAGTTACTATAGTATTCATACTAGTCACTATATATACATATTATAGTTACTATAGTAGCGCTAGTGCTAGTTACTATATTACTAGTGCCAGTTACTATATTACTAGTACTAGTTACTATAGTACTAGCACTAGTTACTATAGTTACTATAGTACTTATTACTACTACCACTACTAGTTCTACTTACTAGTTCCACTTATCAACTTAGTGACGTGATTTTATCGGAATTTATCAAAAGAAAAATCTGAAGATTCACTATCTAAAAATCTTTCGTACACGTGAGTACAACATTTCAGATAATAAATATAACTGCGGATGTTAATGAGAATTTATATTTTGTATGAGTTACAAGGAAAGAAGTAGAATTTGGATACCGAAATAATCTTTTATTTACTAGATATTGTACTAGATATTGTTAGTATACTAGTATAACTCGAATATTTCATCCGCGATATATCAAACGATAATAATTGTTATAAAATACATTAACGATTACGGAAACTAATTTTTCTATAAACTAATATTCTTTATTTGTGTAAATATCAAGTTGAATGATATAAATGATATAAATAGAAGTAGAAACGGTAAAAAATATTAAATTAATTGGATTAAATTATTATGGAGTAATATTTGACATTTAAACGCAGAAATATTACAATATTTAAGGAAGTTAGCTTTCGGATCGATAGTTACTATTATTGGATTGCGTCCATCGCGATGGATGTGCGATTTTATCTTTATAACAGAGGGCGTTTCAGCTTTGCCCGCACTTTCGTATCACCTTCAAACAAATTGTATCTTTACGTATGAAAAAACAAAAAAAAAAAAAAAAA